GGCCCCACAGGAGGCCTCTTGTTTCCATAAAAACGCTGAAACCCCTTTCTCCTGGATGCTGACCAGTAGAGTTAAACACCCTCCTGACCCACATGCCGTGCCTCCCAGAGAGTGATGCTGGCTTTCTTCAGGAGTCAGACTTCAGAAAAGTCAGTAGGGCCCTTGATCAAAAATCTACATGGCTCTCCGTAGCTAATTCCATTCTGTGAAGTCCCCGCTACTGAGCGCAGGGTCCACAGCCCGGGCTCCAGAACCCACCTGGTGGCAGCAGGCTGTAATTGCAGGCTAAAGTGCATTTGCTCCGCCTGCGGCCGACCTACGCCAAGTGTGTGGGCGCTGGAGATCCAAGGATGAGCAGAGAAGAATGGGGGTCCTGAAGAATTGCACACTGCTGGGAGGCCTGATACCAAAGGCTTGAGCTCTCACCGTGCTTGCATTCCCAGCAGACGCCTCAGGCCCCTTTCCACGAAGTGCACAAAGGCATGCAAACACCACAGCAGTTTCTGTCCTTAGGGATTTAAATGCATTTATTCTGGGAATCCTCCCCACAAGCCCATGAAGCTGATGCTCTTTTTTCCTCCCTGATGCACTATTAATATCCATTTACTTCAAATGGAAGAAAACTGAGCTATAGAGTAACTCATTTGCCCATGTCACCCAGCCACGAGTAGCAGAGCCGTTTTCGCCACGGCCGCTGACCCTAGAAGCCATGCTCATGACCAGTAGGCCAACCACATCCCAGTCAACCCACAGAGTCAGGGCTTTCTGCATATCCCACAGGGAGGCAGTGCAGACCGGCACCGTATATAGACCTTGTATTCTTCAGCCTTGCAAAACTCGCTTACTCATTCTAGAAGTTTTTTGGAGATTCCTTAGGACTTCGATATACACGGTCGTGTTGTCTATGAATAGAGACAGTTTTACTGCTTTCTTTCCAATCAAGATGCCTTTTCTTTCTTTTTCTCATCTTATTGCGTAGTTCAGGAACTCCAGGAGTGGAGGATTCTAGATAGAGGCCACCGGGTCTGGGTTTGAAATCTTCTCTGCCCTTCACTTGCTGTGTGACCTGAGGCAAGTCAATTAGCATCTCTGTGCCTCAGTCTCCTCAAATGGAAAAGAATGTTGTGAGGATAAAATGGGATAATATAAACAAAGCATGTGGCTTGGTGCCTGGCACAAAGTTAAGTGTTCAGTAAATGGAAGCTATTGTTAATGCAGGGATGCCTTTGGTGGGTGAGAAGGGTTGTAGCTTCTTTTACCACCCACCCCGCTGGGCATTCCCCCAGAGGGCATTTGAGGCAGCTGTCCACCCCCTCTTTTCCTACCCTTTGCTGTATTCATTATCCTTGGATCTCTTGAAATGGAGGAACAGATATCCCAAACTTTCAGCTTCCTTCCCACCTCAGAGCTGGCCTACTGGGATGTATGTCTGTGGCTAGTGGGGAAAGTTCTGGATGGTCGCTGATTAGCACCCGTGCCAACTGCTTCCTGCAACGTGGCTGCCTCGTCGAAATCAGACATCTTGCATGTTAGCGTGGGGCTTCAAAGACAAGTGCTCCAAGAGCCTGTGCCTGCTTGTCTGGTATCTGGCCCAGGCGGGATTAGGGCAGGTGGAGAGTGGCCCCGAGTGAGCCCCCTAAAGGAGGGCCGGTTATTTACTATCTCTAGGAAATGGCTAACCCTGGAAGGGGCCTCTGTTCCAAGCCCTGAGACACAACGAACAAAAAGCATAAAGCCCCCGGTTCTTGGAGTACTCGCGTTCTAGTGGAGGAAGTCTGCAATAAATAAGCAAACACACAGGAACATTCAGTGACAAGAAAGGAGACAGGATCAAGTGATAAAAAAGGGACCGAGGATTTTTCCAGAGAAGGTGGTCAGGAAAGGCTTCTCTGAGGAGGTGATAGTTGAACTGAGGTCTGTGTGAGAAGCAGCCAGCCCCGCCAAGACCTAGGGGAAGAGAATTCCATGCCAAGAGCTCCCCAAGTACACTGATCTTGGGGTGGCGACCAGAGCGGTGTGTATGGAATGCAGGTGAGACCAGCGCATCTGGCTGCAGTGGAAGGAGTAAGGGGTTGGGTTAGGAGGGGAGCGAGCTCAGAGACGGGGCCAGGCGAAGATGAGTTTGGATTCTATTGTTGGTGTAAAGGGAAGCTGCCAGAAGTGTTCTAACCCGGGGAAGTGGTTTAACCTGATGTGTTTTTTTCAAAGCTCACTCTGGCTGCTGTATGGAGATTGGATGGTAGGAGGGGCAAATGTAGAACCAGCCTGGAGGTGGTGCCCAGGTGAGACATGACGAAGTGGCCTGAGGAAAGTACACAGATGGGAGGGAGATGGATGTGGGGGGAACTGATGAATGTTAGACCTGATAGGCCATTAAAATCACTGAGGGAGTTAAACACATGCTCACAGGCTTCCAAGACCCCACCTTTGTAGCACCTCAATGCCCAAGTTTGGGCTCCGGAATCCATATTCCTTTTTTTTTTTTTTTAAGATTTTATTTATTTATTTGACAGACAGAGAGAGAGAGCGCACAAGCAGGAGGAGCGGCAGGCAGAGGGAGAGGGAGAAGCAGGCTTTCCGCAAAGCAGGGAGCCCAATTCGGGGCTCGATCCCGGGACTCCAGGATCATGACCTGAGCCAAAGGCAGACGCTTAACCAACTGAGCCAGCCGGGTGCCCCGAGGCATCCATATTCCTAATAAGCCCCTCTGGGATGTGCACTGTTCCCGGGTGCCCGGTTGCCCGGTGTGGTATGAAGAAGCAAGTCTGTCGCACAGAGAGGAGCTCTGGTGGGGAGTCTGGAGTCTCGGGTGCCAGTCCCAATTGCAGGTCTGTTGTGGGACTCAGAGACCCCAAGGGCCCGTCAGGAATAGCAATTCTTACCTCCAAGATGTGCCAAGTGTGAGGAATAAGTAGCATGTGTTTGTAAAGCATTCAGCAAAGGACAAGGCCCTCGAGAAGTGTTTGGTAAATGGTACAGGCTTTGGGGTAAAGCAGGTGCAGTGGGAAGGAACACTGGCCCTGTCACCAAGCACTCTGTGACTTTTAGTCCTTTTTGGCCCTTAGTTGCTTCCGCTATTAAAAAAAGTGTCTGCAGTGGACTGAATGTGTCTCTCCTAAATTCATGTGTTGAAATCCTAACCCCCAAGTTAATGGTATGAGGAGGTGGGACCTTTGGGAGGTGATTAGTTCACCAGGGTGGAGCCCTTGTAAATGGGATAGTGCCTTATAAAAGACACCCCGGAGACTCCCCTCATCCCTTCTGGGCCATACGAGGAAACAGCGAGAAGTCAGCTGTCTGTGAACCGGGAAGCCAGCTCTCAACAGACACTGAATCCGCCACTATACTTAGACAGTATTCATAATCCCAATGCTGTGACAGGCCCCGTAAACGTGGGTGCTGCAAGAATGGGAGGGGCGGAGGTTTTGTCCGTCCCTTCTGGGATGAAAGTGGATGATGTCAAGAGTACCCTATTCTTGGTCTAGGGGCACTCCCAGGCCTAGCTCCCTAGCCAGCTGGGTTACCCTGGCTCAAAGGACACTACTGCCCTCTTATGGCGGAGGCCAGACTCAACAGATGGACCCTTCTCACACTTTTGTAGCTCTATCCCCTCCTCCACGCAGGAGGGCCAGTGTCTGACCTGTGGATGCCCCATGGAGCCCTGGAATTTATATCGTTGACTGCCTTCCCGGATTGGCTTTCTTGACAGATGTAGTTGCGAGCTTTGCTTAAAAAGAAATGTTGTCCTTTTGGAGGTTTAGCAAACAACTGGTCTGATTGGATCTTCAGGAGGCAGTGGACCTGATTTACTGAGCGTAGTGTGTGAGGCTGATGCAAGTTATTTAGTCCTCTTTAGGGTCCCTGTGCATAATCATCAGCTTCAATTCCCTGAGGTTGAAACGCAGTTTGTTGTGGATGCTATAAATCACAAAGGGCAAGGGGGAGGGAGAGGGTAGTGGGAGGCAGGGAGAAGGGAGGAGGGAAATGCTCCTATTAAATAGGATGTGGAGGGGGCACCTGGGTGGCTCAGTCGGTTAAGCGTCTGCCTTCTGCTCAGGTCATGATCTTGGGGTCCTGGGATTGCGCCCCACATCAGGCTTTCGGCTCAGCGGCCTGTCTGCTTCTCCCTCTCCCTCTGTGATCTCTCTTGCTTTTGCTCTCTCTCAGATAAATAAATAAAATATTTTTAAAAAGTAAACTGGACATGGGGATAAAGCCACATATACATCTGTCTGTCCACCATTGAATCCTTAGAACAGCTCCTGGCACACACAGAGTGCTCAATTTGTTGTATGAGTAAATATAAGCCCATATCTTTGTATTATGTGTGCACCTGCCCTTCCTACAAAATAGGCCTGCTTTGCAAGGTTTGCATGTTCTCTTAGGCAGTTTTATTTTTAAGTTAGAGTAAATCAGCTCATTCAAAAGAAGTTATTAAGAAAGAACAGAATCAGCATCTGGAACACTGTTTGGGGGTAGAGGTGGTTGGTTGGTGCTGAGCCAGCACCCATGAGGAGGCAGTAAAGTAGAATACTGGGGCTACCAGGAACAGTATGAAAAGGGCCTCTTCTTTCTTTCCAACTAGTGTTTTCTGTAGATCCCACCTCCCCAACCTCCTGAGCTCTCTCATCCCAAAGAATCACATTTTAGCAACTTAGAGTTGGAAGGAAACTCATAGGCCCATTTCTCAATGATCTCTAACTCTGGTAAGCCATAAATGGGATGATGATTACGAGACATTTTAGGTAAAAAAATCAAACGCCACGCAACCTGAGATTTCGTTATTTCACAGGTACAGCCTTACCAATAGTAAAAATGGCAACTTGGCTCCCTCATTCCCTTCATGTTAGCCAAATGGTTGCCAGTAGTCAACATGGCCGCCAGACTGTGCGTTCCCATTGGCGACTGCTCTGAGGCCCGCCCTGCCCCGCCCCTCCGTGCGAAGGCCGGGAACTGCCGAAACGGATGTCGCGGTTCCCGGCCGGACTGCGCCTGCGCCATTCTGTGGCGCCAAGATGGCGATGGAGATGAGGCTTCCCGTGGCTCGCAAGCCTCTCAGCGAGAGCATGGGCCGCGATACTAAAAAACATCTGGTGGTTCCGGGGGACACGATCACCACGGACACGGGATTCATGCGGTACGTGGGGACTTGGGGCCCCAAAGGGCGGCTGCTGCGCTGTGCACGTGGCCTCTGTTCCCTTGCATCTAAGTACCCGCGGGACGCAGGGCACACCTGAGCATCCCAGCTCCCTTGTTTCCGAGTCCTCGGGCTTCTTATTCTATGCACCTTGTGCGTCCCCGTCTGCGTTTGCCTCAGTCCTTGGAAATCCTTCTCTCCTAACCTCTGGTGTCAAAGACTCCTGGGTTCGCTGCCTCAGGCCCTGATCTCTGAGCCTTCCTCGCCTTTTTCGTTGGAGACCTGCAAAACTGGGGAGGTTTAGGAGCAGGGGCCTCTTTCCAGTTTTCAGATGAGGGGCCAGTGGGCATTCCTGACGTGGCCTCTTCTCTCGGCGACATCTCTTAGCCAGGTGCTCGGTTTTGAAATCAGTAATTGTTTGGGCTTAGGGCATACACAATATATTGTGCTACATGTGCCCAAATCTGCATTTTGAATCTGAAGGCAGTACAATACGTGTAGTTAAGAGAGCAGACTCTTGAGCCAGACAGTTGGGGTTTCAGCCCTGCGCCATCACATATTATGAGTTGTATTTCCTCTCCAAGGTCAGTTTCCTCATCTGTAAGATAGTGATAATAACAGTAACTATTTGGCAGGGAAATGAGAGTTAAATGAGGAAATAATTAAGAAAAGAAGCGGGGTGCCTGGGTGGCTCACTCGGTTAAGCGTCTGACTCCTGATTTTAGCTCAGGTGCGATCTCAGGGTCCTGCGATCGAGCCCATGCAACCCCCTCCCCCCACAGGCTTCACGCTGGGTGTGGAGCCTGCTTGGGATTTTCTCCCTCTCTGCCTCTCCCCCTCCTCTTTCTTTCTCTTAAAAAAAAAAAAGAAGGAGAAGAACAGAAGCAAAACTCACCATTGTATCACTATCATAGATAAACACTAGTAGTATTTCAGCCTTTTGGTGGTGCTGGGGGTACAGCATTTATAATATTGCTCTTTAACTTTTTAGTTCGAGGTTATTGGGTCCTAAGGAATCTTAAGTGTCAGTCCTTCATGAATTCAGCATATATTTGTATTACGTGCGGTTGGAGTACAACTGTGATCAAAGTAGGGAAATCTCTGTCGCGGTGGAGTTTATATTTCAACAGGGAGAGGCAGATAATAAACGGTAAGCACAACAAACAAGTTAGTATGTTTGGTGATCAATTCAGTGGGGAAAATGCAAAGTTGAGCAGGGTAAGTGGAATGTGGTGGGGAATACGGTGGGGGTGGTGGCAGCAGGGTGGGTGACTGTTTTTAAATGGGGTAATCAAGGTAGGCCTGATGGAGAAAGTGACATTTGAGTAGACTCGAGTAAGACAAGGGGAGATGTCTATGCAGCTCTCCCAAGGAGTGTTCGGGGCACAGAGAAAAGCCAGGCTTTAAAGCAGGAGGAGCCTGTTAGGAATATATTGTTCTTGAAGGGAGAGGTCATCTCAAGAATTACCCTTGTAGGGCGCCTGGGTGGCTCAGTTGGTTAGGCGACTGCCTTCGGCTCAGGTCATGATCCTGGAGTCCCGGGATCGAGTCCCGCATCGGGCTCCCTGCTCGGCGGGGAGCCTGCTTCTCCCTCTGACCCTCTTCCCTCTCATGCTCTCTATCTCTCATTCTCTCTCTCTCAAATAAATAAATAAAATCTTAAAAAAAAAAAAAAAAGAATTACCCTTGTATCCTTTGTACCCTACTCTCAAAACAGGGGCCATGGAACTTACATGGGGGAAGAGAAGCTCATTGCATCTGTGGCTGGCTCAGTGGAGAGGGTAAACAAGTTGATCTGTGTGAAAGCTTTGAAAACCAGGTGAGAACAAAAGGTGTGTATTCTCTTTCTTGTGTCGTTCATGTTATCCAGCCAGGAACGTAGGTCTGCGATTCTGAACAGGACTATAGAAAGGGTATAGGTGACTATAGGTAAGTGTGGGCTTCAAAGGTTTCCTCACATTACTTGACCTCTCCAAACTTTGGCTACCTCCTCTGCAAAATGAGGGTAATAGCATGATCCATCTTGTAGGATTTTCGTTAGAATTCATTGAAACGGGACATGTAAAGTACTTAGCACAGGGCCTGCTACCTAGAAGGGCTCAGTAAAGGTTAGCCCCAGAAAGGAAGCCGGTGGGGCTGGAACAGAGTGAGCAAGGGGAGTGTAGGGGCAGATGCAGGTAGAGAGCCGAGGTGGGCAGCCTGCCTTGATAAGCATTTTGTCTTCCACTTTATGTAGTCTAGGCCACCCCTAGAAGGGGTGGAGCAGAGGAGGGACATGATCTGACTTCTGTCTTAATATCACTGGCTGCTGGGAGAGATTGAGGGGGAACAGAGGCAGGCTTAAGGAGACTTAATGGACTGTTTTCATCATCTAAAATAATGGTGGCTTGGACTAAGGGAGCAGTAGAAGTGGGGAGTAATGGCTGATTCTGCATACATTTTGTGTTCTGAGTTTTTTGTTTTGTTTTGTTTTTCATGTGAGGGTGTTGGATTTTGTATTCTTTGGGCTTTTCCATATATAGGACCATGTCTGTGAATCGAGATAGTTTTACTTCTTCCTTTCCCAATTTGGATGCCTTTTATTTCTGCGTATATTTCGAAGGTAGAGCCAGTAGGATCAGCTGCTGGACTTGTCCCGGAGTGAGAGAGAGAGAGAGAGAGAAATCAAGCGTTCTTCCAGGACTCCCAAGATTTTTGGCTTGAGCAACTGGAGGAACGGTGTTGCCATTTACTGAGACCCTGCTGGCTGGGAGAGGACCAGTTTGTGATGGGGGCTGGGGAGGGAGCTGCTGGAAAGCTTTTCTTTAGGTTGGTGACATTTGGAAATGCCTAATAGCCATGTAAATAGAGATACTAGGTAGCCAGCAGTTGACTAGAGTCTGGAATTCAGGGGAATTGGCATAGTCATCAGTGGTATTTAAAGCCATTAGGTTGGATGAGCTCAGCAAGAGGTGAGGGTGGGCCGACAGAAGAGGTCCACGACAGAGAAGAGGTCCACGGCTGGAGCCTTCAGCATGGAAGACATAATGACTAGAATTGGGATAAGGAACTAGCGCAGGGGCCGGAGTTGAGCACCCTGTGGGTGGGGGAGACTGTGAGTAGACTGGATTGTGTGGGGTCCTGTCTCAGTCTCTTCCTCCTCCTTTGCTGATGCAGAAGCCATCTGTGTTCCAGAGCCCCCCAGGAAATATTCCATGGTTATCAGTGTCATGTAATTAACAAAATAGGGGTTTCAGGCTTAAGGAACTACTTGGAATAAATGGTTTGTCCGAGAATAGTTAATGGAGACTTTATACATGTAGGAATGTTTGAAGTTCTTGGTTCTTGGAAATAAGTCGGAAGAGCATAGTTATGTGAATTTACCATACTTCAGCATGGTGCCTAATCCAGGCCCTCATCCTGTTGAACTGAAATCTCCAGTGCTGCTTAGTCTTGTAATAAGGTCTGTTCACTGATGGATGACCTGTTTTATCTTTCAGATATAATGGTGAAGTAGGAGACATTGTGGTGGGGAGAATCACAGAGGTAAAGTAGATATCATGTTGGTTTTTACAAAGTAAAAGCAAGCTGGTGATTGAATGAATGGGATAGTCATTGTATTGTCGTTATGCAAATGGGGCGTTCATTGCATTTGACTCTTATGTGCCCCCCCCTTGAAGAGATTTTATTTTTTTCTTTGAAAGAGCACAAGTGGGGTTGGGGAGGGGCAGAAGGAGAGGGAGAGGCAGACTCCCGCTGAGCACGGAGCCCCATGGGGCTTGATCCCAGGACCTGAGCCTAAGGCACACAGTTAACCGACTAAGCCACCCAGGTGCCCCTTATGTGCCCTTTGATGTAAACAGTTGGCTTGTTGTATTGGGGATTATTGGTCACTGATGATGTGAGCTCTTGCCCCTGGAGTCTGTGTCCAACTGTGAAATTTCTCTGTAGGTTCAACAGAAGAGGTGGAAGGTGGAGACCAACTCTAGGCTGGATTCGGTCTTGCTTCTGTCATCCATGAATCTTCCTGGAGGAGAGCTGGTAAGGGTCTCCAGGCTGGTACTGTAGAATTTGCTAGTGAAAGTTCTGGGGTCTGTTGCTCCAGTGGAGAACTCTGCTTTATGCTGAGGTTGCCTCTTTTACTCTTGTTTCTCTGCTGTGAGGTTTGCTGCCTGGATGTACACATAGGCTTTTCACTTGGTCCGGGCCTCCCAACATAAGCAGGAGTTGGTATGTGATAGGATCTGGAATGGCCATGGAGTGTGATCCCAAAAGAGAGTTGGAAGAGAAGCTCTCAGATGCTTGGTGCTCATTTTCCTTTTCTGGGTGTATCAGCTTTGCACAGTGATGGTGTCCCTTGAAAAGTTGTGTTCAGATTAGCTTTTTGTCAGTTGAATGGCATTTGGTTATTCCAGACAACTGCAATACCTAAGGGGCAGCCTTTTGTAAAATGCCGTGGTTTATCTTCGGTCCAGCATGTATGTACAGAGAGGCTCACTGCTAGGTTCTCTGGAGAATGCAAGATAAAGGAGGCTTGGCTGAGTTCCTGAAAGTGCACAGATTAGCAGGGGAAGCGAGATAACTGATCTAAATACCTGACAGTCGAAGAATAAGCAAGCGTGTGATTGTACAGAAGGAGTGAGTGATTTCACTGGGAGATGCTTATAGGAAAGGGGCGTTAGAGTGGATCTCTGAAGAATGGATGGAATTTCACAGGGAATCTGAGAGCACGGGAAATGTGTGAGTAGAGATAAGAGTCAAGCCATAGGTAGTCTGGTCTGCTGCAGCAGGGAGGCCTGCCACGGACGGTGAGTGTGGACGAGGAGGCTGGGCACGATCAGGAGGGGTTTCAGTAGCATGTAAGGAGTTGGAAAACTATCCAGAGAAAGGAGGGGGAGAGGAGGAGCTGTGGGAAGGCCTGTACGAGGGAAAGTGGTGGTGATCGCTCTGGTGTTCCTTGAGTGACACTGCTTACCTACTCTGGTGTCTGAATACTGTGGCTGGTTCCAGAGATCTTTCGGTAGGATCTGACTTAAGTCACGTCATCGCTTTGTGTATTTCAGAGGAGAAGATCTGCAGAAGACGAGCTGGCCATGAGAGGTTTCTTGCAGGAAGGGGATCTTATCAGTGTATCCTGCACCTTGGATTACAGCATCTCAATGCTCTATACGGAGCTGGGGAATGGGGCTTTGATCGTATGTCTCCACCTGGAGACACCTAGTCCAGGCGGGGATCTGGATCCTAGATCAAGTGTCACGGGCCCTGCTGCAGCCTTCCTCCCTCCACTTAACCCAGCCGAACTCTCCAGCCCTTGTTCAGACGTGCTGCCTCAGTAATTTTTTGGGGTTTTGTCACTTACGGTGGCCCGTGCTTTAAGCTAGACTCAGATTTTCTTATGCAGGGAGTAGAAAAGGTGTTGTTCACATCAAGATATTTGTGAGAACCAAGGGGGAGAGGTTAGGTCACGGTGCTGTCCTCCGGGTCCGTCAGGCTGTGAGTGGGACAGTTGGGGATGGGAGGAAAGGAAGGAGAGGTGGGGCCAGGGCCCCAGGGAAGGCAGGTGCCGTGAGAGCGTTTGTTCCTTCATCCACCCTGGCCAGGCGGAGGTGCAGGCGGTGTTCTCCGACGGAGCTATCTCTCTGCACACGAGGAGTCTGAAATACGGCAAAGTAAGTTGGGCTCCTGCTTTTCCTGGATACAGACTGAGACTTCAAATCCATTTCTGAATCCCCAGTGCTCTCTGGAATTCGGCCCTAAAGAGCCCCAGAAGTTAAGCAGGACAGGCTGGTGTTCCCAGAGCGGCTGGTTCATGTGGTCGTGGGTCAGTAGCATCGTCACCGACGACAACTCCTGTTCTCTTCTTACTGAGGAGATTGTTGTGGCAGGAGAGCTCCTGTGACCGGGGGCCCCGTGGCCCTGCTGGCTTGGCTCGCTCCCGGGGGCGCTGCCGCTTTGTACTGGGGCCAGGCCTGAGAGGCTCTACTAGGAGCAAAGGGAGGTCATACTGAAACCCGATGGCCTTGGCTCTAGACAAATGTCCAGTCAATAAATTGGGTGTCATTACTAGGAGAAACTGGTTTGCCACTTGAGCCTTTAAATGAAATGTCAGTGATTGTACGAAGTTACGTTATTGAGGCTCTTACTGTTTTAACGATAGCATACTTTTTTCTTTTAAAGATTCACTTGTTTTAGCAAGAGAGAGTGCACGTGAGCAGGGGGAGGGGCTGAGGGAGAGAAGCAGACTCCCCGCTGAGCGGGGAGCCCACATGGGGCTTGAGTCCACAAACCTGAGATCATGACCCGAGCCGAAACCAAGAGCCAGGGGCCCCACGCCAGCATACTTTCTCTAAAACAGATTATGATTTATTAGTCTCTTGGCTTTATCTGGCGGAACCTTCTCATTTTCTGAGTGGCACTGAAGCCCGTTCCCTTGTGGAGTGGCTCCAGTCAGCCGTGCTTGCAGCCTTGGAGGAGGACCATGGCTACACTCTGTGGGCCTGGCTGCTGCAGACCCTCCCTCCGCGGGATGGGAACTTGGGGCTGACCCCCCACCACCGGGGATGGATTTGCACCCAGCCCTTGGCCACTCCCCTTGCCCAGCGGCACGCACGTCCGGGCAGGGTAGGTGGCTGGGATCCAGGTGGAACAGAATGGTGTACCTGGGCCCACGAGAGGCTCGGGCTCATGTCCTTATTAGCGCCAGCGTGCCTGACTGCCAGCGCACCAACCCCAGGTTCAAATATAATGATAAGAATGGCAGAGAATGAGAGAAGAGTATTGAAAGTCACCTTCTCTTGGGGTGTGTCAACAACCTCCGCGTCCAGAAGTGTCCTCTGGGAGTAATTACCCTGTGTGTACACACACGTGACTGTAGTCATTGACAGGAGTGGCCCCGACTCCACCGTAACGAGGATGTGTATCTTGTGCTCTGCTTTTCATGCGCTTCACTCAGGACCCTCCAGTGACTTCATTTATGCTGTATTTCTTTAGCTAGGCCAGGGGGTGTTGGTCCAGGTTTCCCCCTCCCTGGTCAAACGGCAGAAGACTCACTTTCATGATTTGCCCTGTGGGGCCTCAGTGATTCTTGGTAGCAACGGCTTCGTCTGGATCTACCCCACACCCGAGCACAAAGAAGAGGACGCGGGGGGCTTCACTGCAAACCTGGAGGTGTGTAAACACCGCGGCTGCCGTCGGGGCAGACTGGCACTCAGTCTTCGCTGTGCTTCTGGGCCGGGTGGAGCTGGCTGTTTCAGTTTTTAAAACTTTTTTACTTTTTAAAGATTTATTGATTTATTTGTGAGAGCGCGCATGAGCAGGGGCGGGAGGGGGAGAGGGAGCAAAGCACACTCCACGCTGAGCGCAGAGCCCAACTCGGGGCTCGATCCCACAACCCTGAGATCATGACCTGAACTGAAACCAAGTTGGACGCTTAACCCATTTAGCCACCCAGGCGCCCCAAGAGCTGCCTGGTTTTAAACCGTGTGACTGCTGTGGTCTGAGGAAATTCGAGTCTCCCTTGAGGCGTCTTCATGAACATCGTCTTGCCTTCTCCTTTTCTGAAGGAAAAGGGGCGGGAACTGGTTTGATCCCTGTTGGCAGGATGGCAGGTTGCAGGGTTACAGCAGCTGAGGAGGCTTTCTAATCTCCCTTGGAGTTAGCAGTTGACTGGCTTGGAGTCTCGGAGTGATAGGGTCCAAGTCATAAATGATTTCTGTGCTTTGCCGTGACTGTTCCCTGACTTCGGTTCTGTGTTTCCCTCTGCCTCCGCTGGCAGCCCGTCTCCCTCACCGACCGAGAGGTGATCTCCCGGCTCCGGAACTGCATCGTCTCGCTGGTCACCCAGAGGATGATGCTGTATGACACCAGCATCCTGTATTGCTACGAGGCATCCCTTCCACACCAGGTACTTGCTCCAGCCACGCCTTCCCTCTTCCTCATCCAGCTGTAAGTGGAGGGTGTGTCGTCTGCTCCAGCGCTTCCTCTGGGATCGCAAGCACATCTCCCAGTAGCTTTACTGGGAACTGGTCTGCTGGACAGCCCTACCGAGTGTTGATAGAGCTTTCCCCAAATACTTGTAATATCCTCGGTGTCTAGTGTCAATCGAAGGATTTGGGGGGATGGAGGTGCTGGGGAGGACTAGTTTACAACAGCAACTCTGGACTTCATCTTCCCATCCCAAATTTTAGCTTTATCTTTTTAGTGAATGCCAAGGATTATGTCTTTGTTTCGGACAGCTGTATACGGGAGAATCTTGATGGTTCATTAAGCTGGTTCTGGGAGATCGTATCTTGCAATACTTAGCCTCCAATCAAGGAATATAGAGGGGCGCCTGGATAGCTCAGTTGGTTGAGCTTCTGACTCTTGATTTTGGTTCAGGTTGTGATTTTGGAATCATGGGATTGAGCCCCGTGTTGGGCTCTGTGCTCAGCGCAGAGTCTGCTTGGAATTCTCTCTCCCTCTCTCTCTGGCCCTTCCCCCCGCTCATGTGTTCGCTCTCGTTCTTTAAAATAAATTTTAGGGGCGCCTGGGTGGCTCAGTCGTTAAGCGTCTGCCCTTGGCTCAGGTCATGATCCCAGTGTCTTGGGATTGAGCCCCGCATTGGGCTCCCTGCTCCTCCCTCTCCTGCTCCCCCCTGCTTGTGCATGTGCGCATGCTCTATCAAATAAATAAGTACAATCTTAAAATAAATTAAATCTTAAAGAAAAATGAAAGGAATATAGAAAGTTTATGGTAACCATGCTTGGTTTCTACGTTTGGATGTCTGCTTATGGTTGGTTTCTTTTCTGAACAAATACCTTTTTCTTTTCTTCTTTAGATCAAAGACCTCTTAAAGCCAGAAATAATGGAGGAAGTAGTTATGGAAACGCGCCAGAGGCTTTTAGAACAGGAGGGGTGAGGAGAGACATCTGAAGGGCAGGACGGTCTGTACCTGACCGGAGCAGTTCTTGAAAGTGAAGAATCTGATTTGTGGTCCCATGTGTGGCTCCGTGGAGAACTGACACTCATCACCTGACCTGTATCGGGCTAACTCTGGCCCAAAGACCTGCTTTCTCCTGTTCGAGGGCAGAGCCTGGGGAAGTGCTGCCTGGCCCCTTTGGTTGCCTGCAGAGACCGGTGCTACGGGTAGTTTCAGGCCTTTATTTTTTTTTTTTATTTTATTACCTTTTTTTTTTTTTAGTTTCAAGACTTCAGAAGCACAGTGTTTCAGCCAAATGGACTCCCATTCTGGAATATTATGGAGAATCTTTTTCTTCTGCTCACCATCAATTCGCAATTTCACATGAAATTGCCCCTACAAAAGCATAGCCTCCCTGACCCGCAAATTGCCTGTTTTGGCCTCTCTTCCCACTTCTGCAGCGCAAGTAGGATATTGAAGAATATAGTTAGTAACTTTTTCTTTTGAGAGAGAGAAAGCGTGCTTGTGCAGGGGTGGGGGAGCGCGGATCTTAAGCAGGCTCCACACCCAGCGCAGAGCCAGTGCAGGGTTCAGTCTTATGACCCTGAGATCATGATCTGAGCTGAAACCAAGAGCCTGGACGCTTAACCCACTGAGCCACCCAGGCGCCTGTGTAGTTAGTAACATTAACCCAACAGTCAAATGGAAGGATAAAGTTAACCAAGCAGCCTTTGCTTGATTGGAATCTTATTTCCCACTGCATGTTCCTTCTAGAGGTAAATGCGAGTATATCTACACGAGACTGCCATAATCTGGCCTGCCTTTAAGGGTGATTTGTCAGAAGCTGACTTACTGATAATAGAATGAATGTTCAGGGTGCTCCGAGGGACATGAAAACAGTAAGAGAAATTCACATGGGTAAAGAAAAGCTGTTTTCCTCCTGTGAAGTAGTAATGCATTAACTTTAGAATAATTCAGGGTTGGGACACCTGGGTGGCTCAGTCGTTAAGCGTCTGCCTTCGCCTCAGGTCGAGCCCCACATTGGGCTCCTTGCTCAGTGAGGAGCCCGCTTCTCCCTCTCCCTCTGCTGCTCCCCCTGCTTGTGCTCTCTCTCTCTCTCTGACAAATATATAAATAAAAATCTTTAAAAAAAAAAAAAAAAGAATTCAGGGTTAAAAACAGGAGGTTGAAGTTCTCACTGAGGAATGCTAGAATTCCCATGCATTGGTTTTCCTAATGACTGTCTAAAAATGGTACTGTCATTCAGGTTTGGGGAAACATTTTTTTAAAGGCAGTCTATGAAGTGCTATCTTATTTCACAGTACATGAACTATTTTTTATATATTTATAAATGTGGCTTTAACATCCTGTTTCTGTCCCCGTGTCCTGTGTAATACTTGGGAGCAGAGTACAGTTGAAGGAGGGCTTAGCAGATATAAAATCTGACGGAGGCCTTAACTGCTCTCTGCTGTCATCTAGTAAAAAGTAAACCTCGGGCGGTTTCAGTGGTAGTGACTTTGAACACTGCACTTGACAGTTTTTAAATACAGCTCGGCTCTTCATTACTGGTATATTTCCTGTCCTTACAACATGACTCAAGAGCTATCATTTTACAGACAGCCGAATATTCCATAGGCTGTGGTGCAACTTTAGATTTGCTCACTTGGCATGTTTTTGGAACACATGCCAAGGCTGTGTGTCTCTTGAGAGCAGGGAATGGAGAGGGTGGAAGCCGAAGTCCCTGATTTGGTTTAGTTTTGACTGGGATCATTTGTAAGCTCTCTGAAAGTTTGTTCTCGCTTGGCCTGGTCTCCCAAGCTGCCAGCCTTATGCTGCTCATTCAGTATGTCCTGAATGGCAATCAATCAGTTACCTGCCCAATGGGAATGATACAAAGAACAATCTGAAAGCACCTCTTGGGGATGATCTCTCCATGGCCCACTAGAGGGCGTTCTTGTCGAGTGTTAATTCCAGTGGGTGTTCTGTAAAAAATGGAGTAAGGGGAAATTTTTACACTGGTGCTGAATCCCTGTAGCAACTTGTGATTGCTTTGCTCTATAAAAGTGAGGACAAAGTTAGACTGAACGAGAATATGTGAACCTAAAGGGATTTATTCAACATTCGGTAACATTGATTTCTGACCGTCAGGCATTTGCTGAGCTCTGCGTTTTAGTTTTTAAGTCCTCGAAGGTATCGTTCTACAGTGTTATACAGGAAGTAAAAGGGTATAGTGCATCTCTAGAAAATATTGTAGTCTAGGCTTGGGATTCACCTATAATGAGAGGATGGTGAGTGGAAAGTGGAAGATTGGGGATGCATCTTTAGATGAGGTGCAGGTGGCCTCTCCACTGTCCCCTAAAGCATCATCTCAGTCTGCGGAAGACCAAACAAGATCTAGTTTGATAGCAGATAGGACCTCCACTTAGAAATGAGAGTGGTTCAGAGAAAAGTGACTTGATTAAGCTCCTACTGAGCTTAACTATGAATCAGGAGTAGGCTTAAGCATTAGAGAGGTATCCTATAGCAACCCTTTAGAGAATGGGTTGGACTACTGGTGAAAGAATGTGGGTCCAGAAATTTTATTTCCAGCATTGAGACCAGTCCTTTGGGTTGTTACCGTTTTGCTCACCGCTTCTCCCTCTATGTGTGCTCCTCAGGACAGGGATGATATCCCCACCCCCTGTTGTATACCAGCACCTAGAGCAGCCCTCGGGACACGGGCTCAATAAATGTTGAATTAGTTGTAGAGATGCATATTAGAGTTCTGATCCAATTGCCTAATTTTAAGCTAAACCAGAGAACTGTGATGCACAGGAAATGATTAAAGCATGAATAGAAAGACACCAACATCTCCAAGAAAAATCAGGACAAGATCATGTGTGAATAAAGGGGAACAAGGGTGTTGAACATTTGAAGAGTGAAGTGTATCATTCGTATCAAGTCAGGACTAAGTGTGCCAGCCAAGTTTGTGAGGGAGCAAAGCTAAACCAACTAACATCTGAATTTGTAAGTTTGAGTTCTAAATTTGGGTACAAGTTTTCATATGCTTCACATTCAGTACCTCCACATGACTATTCTTGAAGCTGCTATCTACAAAATCACTACCATTTCCCCATCCAGCAGAAATATTCCTAAAATATGTAACAATATAACTGGATTACACCACCTATAATGTGGCCGTGGTTCTCCCCTAATACCAGCAGCAACTTCTGAAAAATCAGCTGTCCAACGTGGCTGAAAAATCAGTGGTCTAACATGGTCAACAGTAACACTGAACATGCAGTGGAAAAGCATGGGCTTTGCAGCAAGTTCAACCTGGGCCCAAGTGGTGACTTTGTCACATACTAACTAGGCAAGTGACCTTGATTAAGTTACGTCTCAATCTTTCCTCGGCTGTATAATGGGGAATAATATTACACGCCTCACTGGGCTACAGTGAGGATTAAATTAGATAATGTAGCTTATGAAAAGCATAACACAGTTAAGTAGTGTAGAGTAGGCGCTGGGATGAGTGGATCTCTAGAAATGGGTATATCCCAGTCAGGTGCACTGCTCTGGGGATACACAGAGGGTGAAGACAAAGGGGCCGGGCTGCTTTTAAGTTGCAGGAGATGGGCCACAAGTGTGGGTTTGGTGTGTCTGGATCATTGGTTAGGCCTGCTAACCCAACGATCTGCATTTTCTCGGCTACCAAGATGTTTTCATGCGAATGCATGTATATCCGTGAAATGAGGTCGTTTCCTCTTAAAGGCTCTTCCTAGCTCAGACATCTATGATTGCGCCAGGCTTAGCCTCCGAGGGGTGCTTTGCACATGCCGTTTCTTTAATGAGTGAGCCTCCGGATAACCCAGAGAAACAATGAATTCGTTAGCAATATGTCAGATGTTTTCCAGTCATTTATTTTTCGCTAGTTCTAATATTTACGCTTCTTGGGGAAAAGGTGAGAATTTGGGGAGGGAGGATAAGGCACCAAATACCTTGGTTTCCAGAAGCGAGCCAAATTTTCTTCCCTAAAGAGGCTTAAGGAAGTAATCCAACTCCGGGTCTGAGACAATCCAATCCGCAGTTTTCCCCTGGCTTTGGCTCCTCGCCGGGCTCACTCCCCACGCAGGAGAGACATTGGCCAGCCCTACGCGAGGCCGGCGAGAGTCCACCGTCTCCCAGGAGGGCGGGACCGAAGCTCAGGAGCTGGGAGTAGAGGGCAAGAAGTCTCGGGTGCGCGCGTGCAGGGGCGGGCGCCGCGAGACTACAACTCCCGGCATGCCCTGCGGCATGCGCCGAATGCAGTTGGCTGGGAACTCTAGCCTCTCTGCCTTCACTGGCCAATGGGACGCAGGAGAGAGACCTGACCCGGATTCTCAGGGACCAATGGCCGTACAGGGGAGGCGGGGGCTTCCTTACCACTCACCTTGAGGTCGGAAAAACCACATTTAAAAGGTCGTGCGGGGCCAAGTTCCGGCGGGCAGGGAGACCAGAGGCAGAGGGCGCGGCGGCGTCCCCGAGAGCGGCGCCGGGAGGGCCCGGGTCCCCGCGAGGCGCGCGCCGGACGTCGCCGGGGGGCGGGGTCAGGGGCGGGGCCTGGCCTCGTTGTGGAGCGGCTCCTAATCCATCATGGCGGCCGCGGGGGTCGGTGTCCGTCCCTGAGCAGCGCCGGAGCCGGAGCCGGTTCCCGGGTCCTGCGGCTGAGGAGCCCCTCCACTGTCCACGGCCCCCACCTGCGGGGGGAGGCTGGGTCTCGCGGCGGAGTTCCGGGGATGTGACTGCCTGGCGGCGGCGGCTGTAGCAACGTCCGGAGCCGGGGAAGAGGGTGTCTCGGGCAGAGACCCCTGGGCTCGGGGCAGCTGAGGCGGCCGGGCCTCCCCTCTCCGCCCGCCTCCCGCCTTCCCGGGCCGCGAGGGTCTTTCGTCCCGTACAGCCCTGCCCCGGCTCTGGGACACTGGGGGTGGTCTCTTTCCCCCAGACCTGGGACACCCCGTTTCCTGAGGCGTGGAGGAGCGACGCCCCCGAGTAAGCCGCCCGTGCCCCGCCCCGGCAGCCTCCCCCGTACCCCCGGTCCGCCCCTCGCTCCCTCTCCCGGCCTCCAGTTTGGCCACGGAGCCCCCCCATTCATATTCCCTCCCTGCTGTCAAGTGGCCTCCCCTTCCCCCCAGGTTGCTCCCTAGAGCCTCCAATGCCCTGACTTCTTCCAATGTCACCTACGGTTCCCTTAGTCTCAGCCCAAACAAAAACTTTAATGCAAAGGAAAAGTCTGGACTGGTTTCACAGGCCTTTTAAAAAGCGGACTTAAAAGTTGCTGGCAGTGCATTCCTTCTCGTCAGAGTCGAGGGCAAGCTCTCGCTGAAGTCTGGGTGACCCGTGTCCTTTTCCGGAGCGCACGGTAGAGAAGCAGGAGCGGCAGCTAGTTGGGCAGGAAATTTGTCGGAAGATGAAGAAACTAAGATAGGGGGTGGGTGACTTCCACAGGAAAAGTTCTGGAGAAGCATCCAGAGACGATCAACATTTCCTTTATGTTGTGGGAATCGAAATGACTTTAGTGTTACTGACCCTTTTACAGCATCCCTGTGAATGTTTTTTTTTTTTCTTGAAAAGACAGAAACTTACTCAGCCAGTAAAAGACACTTAAACTCAAGAAACTTTTGGGTAGCACTGCAATTACATTACTTCAAACTGATAAACTGCAGAAGTAATCGGAACTCCTGTTTACATATGTCAACCTAAAAACTCTGCTTCCTTTTTTTTTTTTTTTTTTTTTTTACGGAAGATGTCTTTTTGTGATTGACCTCAATTACTGACTTGTGGAGATTCGGTGAATGTGAAATCCCAAATATATACTGTTTCCTTCTAAGCCCACTGACCATTCTGGAAGATCTTGAACCCTCTTCTGGAAAGGGGTGCCTATCATTGCTTTATGGGGCAGCAGCCTGGAAAAGTTCTTGGGGACCAGAGAAGGCCAAGTTTGCCTGCCTTGCACTTTATCAAAGGAGCAGGGAAGAAGGAATCATCGAGGCATGGGGGTCCACACTGCAATGTTTTTGTGGAACATGGTGAGTGCTGTTCAAGCTTTCTGGTCATATTTTTTCTTATGTATCAGCTTAGGAATGCATAAGGGACTTTTGAACAACAGCGTTTGTGTCCAGCTGTACTTGAAACTTGTGTTACTATAGTTTTCTCTTAGTTTGTGGTGGAACTTTCTTTGTATAAGAAGAAGTTATTTGGGGACTCTGGCTGGCTTTATTCAAAATCTCTTTGAGTTGTTTATTTCTTGCCTAATTCCCCTTCTAACTCACTGTTGACCTTAGATAAGCAATTTTACTCTTCCAGTTTCCTGAGGAGATTGGACTTAAGTGGTTTCTCAGGATCAGAGTCCATGATCCTACTCTAAACCTTAGGCTTGGGCTATACCCGAGGTACATGGATCCTTTACTGCTTTATCCACAGGGAGCTTTTATCATATCCTCAAGAGTGCTTGTGTTGCCCAAAAGGTTAAGAACCACAGATCCTAGTTGACACTAATATCCTTGACCTTTTCAGTCATAAGTCGGACTTGAAAATATGCACTTTTATATATGGAGCTACGTGGGAAAAATTGAGTGGGGAAGCGGTATCCCTTGTGAATTGAGGATTCGCCCCCACCCCTTTCTGGTTATTTTACCTTACACAGGAGTAATCGTTTCCCAGGGATGGATGGAGCTTTTATCCTCCTCTCTCCCTATTTTGGATGACATTTGGGGCAAGAAAGGTTGTCTTTGACATTTTTATGAACATAGTTGGCATTTGATTGCAGATAGTGTGTGTTATACCATATACTTCCTGTAATTCTATGTATAGTTTTAAAGCTAAGGGTCAGCTTAGACTGATGTTCATAATCAGGGGCCAGCCCTGAGCCAATTAATTAGGGGCCTGTTTGTACTGTTGTAGCCTGACATTTTTCAAACTGTACTTTATATTGAAATATCGGTCCCACCCACTCTATAAGCAAATGTGAGATGAGTGCAGGTGGCATATACTTTGAAATTCGATCTCAAATGCCTTTTAACAATGGGTGACCACAATAAACAAAGGTCTCTATTGCATGAACTTGCACTTGACTGTGGAGGTTTTACTTTCTTTTAGAAAAATACCTCATCTAAATGATTTGAGTACTCGAATTGTAGTTTTCCTTGAAATATTAGTTACATTTTAGCCCTGGTTTTAGACAGGCAAAAATGGAAATTTGTTACATTATGGTGCTTTCCCAATTCATGATTTATAAAGTGAATTATTTATGTTTTTAACTAGTGATGATCATGCAGCCTTAGATAATGAAAATTGGTGCATATTTTTTGGAGAGCTTTGGCCAAACTTATCAGAATTTAAAATGCATATACCAATAACCCAGTAGTCTCACATCCAGGAAGCTCTTCTCATCCAGAACAGTATAGTCCCCTAGATGTCCCTGATACCCTTTCAGAGAGGGTTGAGGTTAAAACCGTTTTCATATTAATGCAATCCTTAGATGTTATTTGCACTCTTTGCACGAATGGTGAATGGTGCGCAAGTCATGCAGGCTCCTTAGCATGAATCAAGGCTGTAGCACTACACCTCACTATACTAGTAGCCATTGTGTTCTTTGTACTCGTTATAAATAAATTGTGCCGTGCACTCATAAATAAATAAATACATAAAATAAAAATTCATTTTTCACTTAAAGAATGTCCTTGATGAAGCAGGAAAGAGTAATTTTACGAACTGTTGGCCCTTGCGTATGTGTTTTTTTTTAGTAGGTTGAAATGAGAAGTACACGTAAAGCACTTCTGCTGAGCACTGAGGGATCTCGGTTATCTCCAAGAAAAGCAGATGGGCAGCTGTTTGAGTAGCAAGCTGTACTAGCTGCTTTTTTCATGGAACTACCATTTTTCAACTACCACTGACAAACAATGGTTATTCAGGCTAAAAAGAGTATAAAGGAGTCTTTCAAGGAAAACAACTGGTAGTGTATGTTGCCAGTGATAAAATTTTAGCTTTCCAGTGAAAATTAGGATTTTGGAAAACTTGTATCTGCTATTGTGTTGTAGAGATTGGTGGTGATATTTTACAAAGGTGTTGTTTTGTTATAATGAAATGTATTATTCAGAAAATCTACATAATTCAGCGAGCCAGTATTTTCTAAGTGATCAGTAAGTGATATTATAAAATCACACACAGGTAAAAAGATTCATCCAAGGTGCAAGATGGACCAGTGGATTTGAATGTAACAATACAAAAGTTCCCTGATACGGTTTTAGATTCTACATCACAACTAACCTTTAAGAAACTACCACTTAAGGTGTTTTGGTGTAGCTTCAAAGAAGAAAATCTACTTATCTAAAAAGGCTACCTTTTTTGCGGAAAACAGTTACTTTCTAGTAATAAAAAATGTTTTTAAATTAATAATTAAAATTTTTTCAGTTTAAATTTCTAATATGGAAACATTGGTGAACTAGCCTATATAAACAAGAGCTCGTTGGGGGTCCTTAGTAATTCTCAAGAGTGTAAAGAGGTCCTGAATTTAAAAAGTTTGAGAACTGCTACTATAGGGGGTCTGTCACAGAGGCACACAAGGCTGTTTATTGCAGGTGTACTCTAAAGTACTAACCCTGAAAGGCATCCAGGTAGTGGTTAAGTGGAAAAAAGCAAATTGGAAATGAGTAGGCGTGGTATGGGAATTGGGATTTCGGCACAAGGGGAGAAAACTTGTACTTTTTACTTTGCATTTGTGATTTCTTTCTCTGACAAATTTGTGTTATTTTATAATGCAAAAGATACAGAGATTTAAGAACCAAACTCATGGCAGCCCAACCAAATAATCACTTCTTTGCAGCAGCTTTTTATTTTAATTAATTAATTTATTAAGATTTTATTTATTTATTTGACAGAGAGACAGTGAGAGAGGGAATACAAGCAGGGGGGTGGGAGAGGGAGAAGCAGGCTTCCCGCGGAGCAGGGAGCCTGATGCGGGGCTTGATCCCAGGACCCTGGGATCATGACCTGAGCAGAGGCAGACGCCAAACGACTGAGCCACCCAGGTGCCCCGCAGCAGCTTTTTATGAAAGAATTTGCCTGAGTCATGTTTTACTGAAGGCAAATCAATTTCTTGGACCTCGGGTGTTCTTTTTCTAGGGGAACACAGTCTTATTTTGTGTTACAAATTGTTGTTGATCTTTTATAGGGTGATCTTTCTAAGAGTTGGTTAATATCCATATAGGTTGGATTAAAATATTTGCAGTTAAAACATACAGTGTTGGATCAGACACGAATCTGGAAGCCAAGAATACTGGTAGATGAGGGTGTCAGTGATGAATCTGGAAGGAGAGGGCAGATGGTAGTTTTTTTGCCAGGATCATTCAGGGTCAGAAGGGCTAGTCATGTGGACAGGAGGAAAAAAAAAGGGAAGCCATATTGTTTCATGCGTCATATGTTCCAAATTTCAGTGGCTTGACTAAAGAAAATTCACTTTCAGGAGAGTTGGTAAAAGAGGAATAAAAGCATTCACTAGTAAACCTCTTTTCCTTAGCGATTCCTTCTTTCTTCAACAAATACTTATTGAGCACACACTATCTATCAGGTAATGTTTTAGTCATCGGTGAAACATTAGGAAACAAAAAACATCCCTGCCCTCTTGGTATTTACAAATTCATTCTAGTGGGAGGAGACAGACCATAAATAAGCTAGGTAAGTGAAATATAAAGTATGGTAGATGGTAGCAGGTGCTGGGGAGAAAAATAACACAGGAAAGGGGCTAGGGAATGTTGAGAGGTGTGATTTTAGTTAGGGAGGCCCCCCTAAGAAAGTGGCATTGGGAGGGAGGTGAGGGAACAAGCCTTGGAAATGATGGGGTAAAAGCATTTCAGGCAGAGGGAATCAGGGTGCGATAGCCCCCAGGCAGAGCTTGTTTAGCGTGTTCTAGGAGAAGCCCAGAGTAGCTGGAGCAGAGAGCAAAAGGAGAGTTGGTAGGAGATAAAACGGGGATGAGGAGAGAATGACTGGAGAAGAATGTCGCCTTGTTAACCGTTTGAAGATTTTGACTTTGACTCATGTGGTTTGGGAAGGAGTAACAGGCCCTGACTTATGTATTATTAAAATGTCTCTCGCTGCTGTATTCTGAAGGAGAGCAAAGAGGAAGCAGGGGTTCCACTGAGGGTTTGGCTGTACTCATCTGAATGAGAACAGTCATGGCTTGGACCGGGATGGCGGTGGTGGTGAAGGGTTCAAATTCTGTGAATCCTGGCAGGCACAGCTGTCTAGATTCGCTGTTGGATTAGATATGAGGTGGGGTGAGTAGGGTGTGAGAGAAGTCAAGGAGGACTCCAAGGTTTTTGGAAAAAGACTAGAAGAGTGGGGTTTGGGGAGGTGGGTTGCGGGGGATGAAGGTCAGGAGCTGCTTTTTGGGCACGCTACACTCGAGATACCTAGTAGTAGGCATGCAGGTGGATGTGTCGTTCGAGTGCATTCAAGTCTACCAGTGTGAATTCAGGGAGGCAGTCCAGGCTGGAGAGGGAACCTGGGAGTCATCAGGTTATAGGTGGTGTGTATAATGTATGTATGTATGTATTTTATTTTTTTTAAGATTTTATTTATTTATTTGACAGAGACAGACACAGCGAGAGAGGGAACACAAGCAGGGGGAGTGGGAGAGGGAGAAGCAGGCTTCCCGCGGAGCAGGGAGCCTGACGCGGGGCTCGATCCCACGACCCCGGGATCACGACCTGAGCCGCAGGCAGACGTCTCACTGAGCCGCCCAGGCGCCCCGATAGGTGGTATTTAAAGCTATGAGAAGGATGACAAGCCCAAGGGAGAAATCTCCAAGTAAGAGCCTTTCAAACAATGTAAGGTGACATTCAGTGGTTTATGAAATTAAGACTTTACATTTTTATGTAGGATTCATTTGAATCTTTTTCGGGCGGTGGTGACATTCACATTCACATTCACATTTTGATTTTAACTCATTTTTAAGTTTTAAATTCTGTTTCTCTGAGGATTTTTTTTTTTCTAAATCAAAAAGTTGCGGATTTAACAAAAAAATGCA